AGATAGGGATAGAGATACAAAGAGATAAGTAGATAAGTATAATATACATTAACAGCCCCTTCAAACTCAAGGTGGGTAGGCATCAACCAACTTGAGTTTGGAAACTAGATCACTAAAATGACCAAGAGGATAAGCCTCGGTGAAGATGTCGGCTGTCTGATTGGCAGAGATAATAAAGATAAGACGAACAGTGCCACAAATAACATGCTGTCGTTTGAAGTGACAATCAATCTCAATATGCTTTGTGCGATCATGGAAGACATCATTATGGGCAATCTGAATAGCACTCTGATTATCACAATAGAGGTTAATCGTAGTAGAATGAGAAATTCCCATATCAGAAAGAAGTCAGCGAAGCCACACAAGCTCCTGAGTAGTGTTAGCAAGAGCACGATACTTAGCCTTAGTACTAGAATGCACAACAAGAGTTTGCTTCTTGCTACACCAGGCAATGAGAGAGTCACCCAAGAAAAAACAAAATCCTGTAATAGAACGGCGATCAGTAGGGTTCCCTGCCCAATCAGCATCAAAAAATGCATGTAACTGTAGGGAAGAATGAGCGGAGTAGTGAAGACCATGAAACATAGTGCCTTTAAGATAGCGTAAAATGCGAACTAGAGCATCATAGTGTGGAGAGCGGAGAGCAGCCATGAACTGACTAACAATGTGAACAGCATAAGCAATGTCTGGATGAGTAATCATGAGATAGACAAGATTACTAACTAACTGACGATATAAAGTAGCATCAGACCACAGGTGACCGTCAAGAGGTGTGAGACGAGTCTGCGGATCAACGTGAGTAGAGGCAATCTTGCAATCGGTAAGAACAGCACGAGCCAATAGATCAGAAGTATACTTGGTTTGGGAGAGAAAGTAACTAGACGGATCATGAGAGATTTCCAAGCTGAGAAGACCCAAATCCTTCATCTCAAACTGGCAACTGAGAAACTATTTGAGATTAGAGATAGCTATTGTGTCATCTCTAGTGATGATCATATTATTCACATAGAGAAGAAGAAGAATAGTACCACTATGATGATCATATCATTCACATAGAGAAGAAAAAGAATAGTACCACGCTCTGTCTTACGAATAAAAAGGGTAGAATCATAGGCATTGGAAAAGAATCCAAAATCATGAATGATGGAGCTAAACTTGGCAAACTAGGCACGAGGAACTTGTTTCAAACCATATAAAGCACGACGAAGTTTACAGACTTTGGAAGGCGGAACAGAGGAACCAGGTGGAGGTTGCATATAAATTTCCTCAGTGAGATTGCCATTGAGAAATGCATTCTTCACATCCATCTGACAAAGTTTCCAATGGTGAGCAGCAACAATGGCAAGTAAGCTACGAACAGAAGTCAAACGGACAACAGGAGCAAAGGTTTCTTCATAGTCAATCCAATATTCTTGAGTAAACCGCCGGGCAACAAGATGAGCTTTGTGACACTCAATAGAACCATCGAAGTGAGTTTTGAGCTTGTAAACTCATTTGCAACTAACAACACTTTTGCCAAGAGGAAGATCAACCACATCCTAAGTATGAGTTTTATCAAAAGCCTGTAGTTCATCGGTTATAGCTTGTTGCCAAAGAGGGTTAGAACAAGCCTCTCTATAAGAAGTAGGTTTGTAAGAGGAAAATGCAGTAGAACCAACAATGAAATCATGAAGAATGACAGAAAGTTGTGTTACTCTAGTAGAATGATGAAGAGGTACCTCAGAAGTAGGACCAGAAGGCAGAACAGGAGCCTCAAGATGGGCCGAAGGCAGCATGGTAGAACTAGGAGCAGGACCAAGGAGTAAAGCATCAGCAGGACCAGGAGACGGAGCAGGATCCTCAGGATGGGTTGGAGGCAGCATGGCAAAAGTAGTGTCTGTATCAAGCTCATTAAACAAAGGCGAGGGATCTGTGAAGAATGGTGTAATGAGAGGATTGAACAAATGAAACTTAGATATAGAAGAGAACATCTTGTCTTCCCAAAATACCACATGACGAGAGACACAAAGACGTTGAGAAATAGGATCCCAACAATGATAGCTTTTATGTTCAATCCTATACCACAAGAAGCAACACAGATGAGCTCGAGGTTCTAATTTGGAACGCTTATGTGGTTGAAGGAGGACAAAACAAGCACATCCAAACACACGGAGACGAGAATAGACAGAAGGTTGGCCATATAAGCGCTCATATGGGGTAAGATTGTTGATGGTAGGAGAAGGAACACGGTTGATAGCAGCTGTGAGAGCGGCTTCCTCCCAGAAGCGCTCAGGACAAGAAGAGGAAATTAAAAGAGCATGGACAGTACCTAAAAGATAACATGTTTACGCTCAGCACGACCATTTTGTTGGGAGGTACCAAGACAAGAATAGTGAGAAAGTGTGCCATTTTGACGAAGGAATCTCAAAAAATTTGTTTCTTTGTATTCTTGGGCATTATCAGCATAGAAAACTTTGATGGTGGAAGAAAATTGAATTTTGACCATTTATGAGAAATCATAGTATATTTGTGGTAACTCAGAGCGAGACTTCATAGGAAATAACTAGGTAAAATGAGTGAAATCATCTACAAAAATGACAAAGTATTTCCCCAAACATCAGAGTATATGAGATCAAACGACGCATGAGACAAAGAAGTACTAGATGGAAATGGTAAAGCAGATTGTTTGGCTAGTTGACAAGATAGATAATCTACTTTATCATTTAGAACAGGACCTAATTGACTACCGAAAACTAGAGATCGTAAACGATCAAAAGAAACATGACCAACCGAGAATGCCATAAGGCAAGAAGAGAACTAGGAGTAGCAAGAGCAAGAGTCTGGAAAGTGGAAGGACTGGAAGAGGGAATGCGAAGGTGAATGAGCTCATACAAACAACCATGTCTACGACCGATCCCAAGAGTCTGTCCTGTCTTCGAATCTTGTACAACACAACCATTGGGAGAAAAGAGAACAGTGAGGCCAAGATCACTGAGTTGACCAATTGAAACAAGATTAAGTGTAAGATTGGGGATCAGATAAGTGTGGGGTAGAGAAACAGTAGAGGTTGAAATATGACCTACATGACTAACATGCATTTGAGAGCCATTAGCGGTGTAAATAACAGGTAACGTAGAATAGAGGAAAAAAGTGTAGAGTCAGAGGTCATATGGTTGTAACAAGCGGAATCAAAATACCAAGAAAAGATACCTAGAGTAACTAAGAGGATAGTAAAGGGTGTACCAGAGGTAGAAATAACCTTTTTGACAATAGCTTCAATGTCCTCAAGAATGTAGGATGGTAACGGGGCAACAATGGATGAGGAACCAGAAACAACTGTAGTAGATGAAAAATGTGCTGAAGACTGATCTCGACTGTATATTGTGAAGGGTCCATAATAGCGACCGTGCTGAGGATAATTGTCTGAACGAGCCATGAGATGATTAAATAATGAATCACAAAGGAGAACCAGTGATGGTGGAGTAGAACTGGGTAAAATAGAGTGCACTAGTGAATCTGGAACGTCGAAAATAGTCAGAAACTAGGCCAAAATGATCAGAAAATGTGCAAAAAATAGGCGAAACAAGCCAAAAAATTGAATTTTGGCCAAACAGGGTGTAGGACTGACATCAGCAAGAGGGAAGTTGATGTTAGCAGAGGCGCGACTCACGTTAGCACAGCTGAGGCACGACACAGTGTAGTAAAGAAGGCGCGGCGCACATTAGCAACTAACGGAAGTAGCTTAGGGCTGACATCAGCGTGTGGGACGCACGCGTGGCTGGGCCAAAACAAGCGTGGAAGCGGTTGACGGCTGATGCATGGGAGAGCGTGTGCGAGTGAAGGCGAAATAAGCTGATGCGCCAAGCACAAAAGTGGCGTGTGAGGGCACGTGAAGCACTTTCTGGTGATGAGATCGGTGCCAGTGGAATCTTGAGAAGATTCTGATCAATTTGATGCTCAGGAAAAAAAAATAATAATAAATAAAATAAAATAAAATAAAATTGGAGAAAAACTATGGCGAAACAGTTCAATCAATGTTTGGGTGATTGAATAAAATGTTATAGTACCACTGTGTACGGGACTAAGCAGAAAAAAAAAAGAAAAGAAAGAACACTATAAGTTTAGGATCTATAGCTTTGATACCATGCTAGAATTGTATATCTGTATTATTAAATTGAATGAATGAATACAATAGGAGAAGCCTGTATATATAGGCTAAAAAGAAACCTAGATAAGTATAAAAGAAGATAGAGATACAAGGAGATACGGATAGAGATACAAATAGATAAGTAGATAAGTATAATATACATTAACACTACCAAACAAACGAGACCTTAAAAGAATTATAAACTTTTCATTTATTGATGTTGTACTTCTCAAATTATTAAAAGGAAAATGTCTCGTAGTAAAATGAGTCACATCTTAGTAAATTCTAAAATTTTATTACACATTATTGAGTACAACACTTTTGTAAGATTTATTAATGTCTAAAATTTGCGAGTTTTTCTTATTTATTACAGATCAATTAATAAAAAAATTATTCAAAATTTAAATAAAAATTTTCCTTCTGAAGACGACGATGACCATACGTGCATCCACAAAATACAATTGATCAAGCACCCTATAACGTAATATTTTAGAAGTAATAATTTTTGCGAGTGCTCATGGTCATGCATCCTATTCATACTCTCCCTGTAGTACTATTTGTCGATGCCCAAGGCCTTCCAAATATGTTGCAACGTCATCCAATATTTGTCCGAAAATTGTTTTTGCGAGCCTTACTATTATAAGGGTTAATTACACTTCATATTTATAATTTGATTTGAATATACTTTAATCTCTATAATTTTAAATTTTTAGTCCCTACACTTCGTAATTTTAAGTTGATCGCTCCGTAATTTTAAGTTGATTGCTCCGTTTAAATTGGATGTTAAAATTAATAATTTTATAACACATCAACTTTTTAAAATGCACCCGTATACAAAATAACAAATATTTAGACAGAATAACCAAATCAAAACTGAACTTAAAAGTGTAAAGACCAAATTTTTTAATACAGGCATCGTAATTAAAAATATTATAATTGTTTAGTTACAAAATCAACAAAAAGAAAATATCTAATGGTATAAATGTGTTCAGGAAGTGGCAATAAAGGAGACGTGAGTCATGAGGAGGAACATAGATCCTCTATAGTGTACACTGTATTGTTACTACTTTCAGCATTACAATATTTTGAAAGTTCGAACATTCAGGTGAACCATGTTTACTCTTGACTATTCAACTGATGTAAATCTTACAGATTTTCTCCGTTTCAGGTGCCACCGTCCTGCTTCTGCTTCTTCGAGCCACGGCTCTCTTCCTCAATAGCCTTTAGTTTGTTTTTTATGGCAGCTATTTTCGCACTTCGGCTCACTTGTCCTGAACTACTTCCGGCGATACTTGACTTGCTTGCCTCACCGATCACTTTGCTAGAATTATTAGCTGTTTCAACCAAGTATTTTTCGCTTGCAAGGCGTACAACCAATGGACGCCCACAAACCAATTTCCCATTCATCTTCTCCTTGGCCAGTTCAGCTTCCTACATGCTCACTTTAGAAGTGGAAATCAGGAACTAGCAAGAGAAGGAGTAAATAACAGTAATGCACAACTTACCTCTCTGGTGCTGAACTGAATAAAAGCAAAGCCACGTGGCTCTCCACGTTTTGGGCCACGAGTATGCCACAAGAAGTCCTCAGCTACAATTTTTCCAAATGGAGAGAACATCTTAATCAAAGTAGCCCTGATAAAACAAATGCAGTTTAAATAAAGCAGTGAGTAGAAAACTACAAATTTCCACATATCCAGGCACAAAATGGAGGCAAAAATTTCATTAGATTTTTTTTTTACTCTGTTATCCTCCGATCAAGGTTGCCAATATAGAGCCTGCAATCACATTTCTCATCAACAAAACTATTGGGGTCCTGCACCCAGTGATTACAACAGTCCAATTAGCAACACTCATGATACATAAAAAGTGAGATGCAACAGCAGACAGTCACACCTAATAATCATACATTCCAAATCACTGTTTGTTTCCAGATTGATATGCGCATTGATTCCTTAATTTAATTTTATCCCAGAGGGATCTCACTGATAAATTGGATAAACCTTGATTCTAAATGCTCAGACTCAATAAACACACTATATATGGCATGCATAGATACAAATCTATTCTATTGCATCGATTGAAAACCAGCTTTGGTGTGATACAAGCATGTCTCTTCTTGAACGCTGTCACTTGGCAATTTGAGAGGAGTTACGATGCGTGAAAAGATAACCAACAAAAGAAAGCAAATACTAAATCTAGGAAATAGAAATGCTATTAAATGATGAATATGCATAGCACACATGACTCCCTCTAGTACAACATTATTGAACAACAACACTATAAATTTAACAATCTTAATGAATAAGTTTCTATTTTATAGATGTACATGGAAAAAATGTTGAATTACATAATATGGTTCAGAACAATCTAGTCATGAATTTCCAACATGGAATTTCCCCTTAAAGAGTTATCCCAGAGACGAACCAAAATAAACAATATTAGTATGCAACTGATAAAGGCATAATGCAAAGTTAAAACTAAGCACTGCACCAACAGAACACCTGCCGCCTTATCAGTACCCAAAACAGAACAAACAAATCCTCTGAAAAATCTAACAATTTGATGGCAGGTTTTGAAGGGAAAAAGAATGTTAAAGAAGTTGAGAGATGTGAGTGTCTATGTATGTATGCATGCATGTAAGTATGTATGTAAACATGCTTAAAGAACAATGATATTGAAGATACCATGATGTTAGAAAAGGAATCTGATAACAAGGAATCTGATGATGATTGAAGTCCTCAAAGCACGAGTGCAGAAAATATTCGGCAATTGCGTATCAAGGTTATCGAGGTTGAATGCACCTGCATTAGATAAATTTTATGACAGTTCATGTGTTGTTTCTTCAACCACAAAAAATTAAGTTCAAATGATTCATATAAACATCTTCTCTCAACCAAATCACAAGCTGATAATCAAACATAATTCAGCTGAGCAAAGCAATTTAGGAAATTACAATACAAGCTTTAGATATTAATGTTCACAAACATAAATGAGGTAAACATAGGACTGCTCAGGCTTGGATCATTCATTAAATGAGCTTCAAAATGGAGCTCAAGCTCAGGTGGTTTAATAAATAAACTATGCAAACAAATATCCTTGTTTTGTAACAATTGCATCTCTCTTTCTTGATAAAAAAACACTTGCCAACAAAAAATGAATTTTATTCTCACCATCTGCAACCAAAGCACTACCAAGATCTTTTGGATACATTGAACAAACCACAAGAAAAAGGCAAAGTAGATGGCTAAAATATGCACATCACGCAGCATAAATTCACATAATATAATGGGCTGTTCCTAGGAAGATTGTTAGTCGTTCTGAGAATCTCTTTAGACCTCCTATTAGAAATCACGTTCATCAAGCACATTTCCAAGAAAATTCCTAGAACTGATGCAACATTTCCGAGACTGAACCTAATGCCCACATAAAATATATAACAATTTAACACATAAGCATGTTATCACATAGAATATAAACAGCTCTCGCAATCACGAGGTAAAACCCAATGGTCGTCAAAACCACTTCCCACAAGCCAAGGTATTTAAACCCGACTAACTCTAATACCATGTCATCACACCCCAATTTTCAAATATTAATTAGGCAAAAACTAATTAACCTAAGCATGAGGTTTTGTAAGAAATCTCATTCTTATTTATTAAATTACCAAAAAAAAATCCTTTTTTCCTGAACAATTTTCTTTACCATTCTAAAGTTCACATGAGGAAATACCCTAAAAAAAATCTTTATTTCAAAAGATCATATAATTGAAGAAGAAAATGATAATACCAAAGGTGGGGACCATAAACCTGCTCTTCGTGTATTGCATCAATATAACATGTTTCTTAGAAACAAAAACACCCCGTGTGTTTACAATAATAATGAGGGCGTTGCTTTTTTACAAAAGAAAGACGTTCAGTTAAAGAAAACAAATAAGGCCCGAAACCAAACATAACAAATAGGAGCACTACAACTCATCACCACATTATGACAATGATGTGACAAAACAAGATGTCTGAAGACATCCACCTGCTGGTAAGGGGTGAGCAACCCACACGCTCACCAAATAATCTTATAGCATTACTTTAAAAGACAAGCGGGTACAATAATACTGTATGTACATAATATCATGCCATGTCAAAATTTTCTAATTTAATTATCTAATCCCTTAAGTTCAATTTATTTAATTAACCCCACCAATTAACTCAAATAAATAATTAAATCTAAATATGATAAGACTGCCAACCAGGCATCCATTCCAACTTAATTAATCGGAGCCCTATCGGCGAATGACGTCTTTGGGCCGATTAAAGCCTCCGGATTCGGAGCCCCATCGGCGAATGACGTCCTTGGGCCGTTAAAGCCTTCGGATTCGGAACGCTCTTCGTGGATATCACGATTGGCCAAATAAAAGTCTTCGGATTCGAAGCCCCATCGGCGAATGACATCTTTGGGCCGATTAAAGCCTCCGGATTCGGAGTGCCTTTCGTGGATATCACGATTGGCCAAATAAAGTTTGCGAATTCGGAGCCCCATCGGCGAATGACGTCTTTAGGCCGTTAAAGCCTCCGGATTCGGAGCGCCCTTCGTGGATATCGCGATTGGCCAAATAGTCTCCGGATTTGGAGCCCCATCGGCGAATGACGTCTTTGGCCGATTAAAGTCTCCGGATTCGGAGCCCCATCGGCGAATGACGTCATTGGGCCGATTAAGCCTTCGGGCCGTGCGTAACACAATGATGTCGATTAAATCAGGCCGATCAATGTCCATTTACTCGTCTGAAATATGTTTATTCAAACATGTATATAATAAAACACATGCAAGCACGTGTGTGCCGAACAAAAATTATAACAAAACATTGAAAATAAAATTCTTTTTTTTTTTCCGACCAACCAATAATTACATAATTCTAGATGCGATCTGCGTTTGAACATTACAATGAATATTTTTATTCGGCGTCGCCCTCATCATCGCTCTTTTCAACTTCAAAGGCGGAAAAGGGCAAATGATCACAATGATCCAGGCCACATAAGTTGGAATCAACACCCTTTGCTCGGAGAGCCTTCACAGCCTGAAGAGCCGCGATCCAACCATGCTTAAAACCCCGATTCTCGCATCGGCAGACCTCCTCAGCAAGTCTCTTTCGTTTTGTCAATCCCAACCTTCCGACCAACATGGAAGCCCTGCTCATAACCCTTGGCCCTCGCATTTTCTACGGCAAACATGCTTGTCGTATCTCGGTCGGCGATGGCATGACTCAATAGCCGTTGGGTCACCCTCTCGTCCACAATCGGGTTAGATTGACCCGCCGCATGCGGATTGGCGACTTTAACCTTCCTAAGCTCCCTAAGCTCGCCCTCGGCTTTCTCCGCAAGAGCCTCCGAACTGCGGACCCGTTCGTCTATTTTCTCCATCTCCCGCTGCGCGGCGCGCAGACGCATGCCAACTTCGTAGGCGGTGTACAGCCCCTTCACCGCCCCATGAATAGCTTCTCAAAACACTTCGAAATCTCGTTGTCCAACTATCGATTGTTGGACTTCCGGTGAAAAGATCTATCGAGCGAACCCAACCGCTACACTCAGATGATTGACGATGGAATCTGCCTCAGTCATCGGTTTATTCCCCACGAACACCGCAAAACTCAATGGTCATGGCGTCGCATCTAACTCATTCCTCGGTCGTGGTCGCGGGGAGCTTCCCCATTGATGCTTCTCTCTTCGGGGTGATCTGCTTCGACGGTTTGAAGGTTGACGTTTTTCGCTTTCCTTGGACGTCCTGCCTCCCGCACGCGCAGGCTCGCTGCTGCGATTCATCGCAGTATTTAGCTCAACCAGCGTTCGTCCCTCTCCTCTGCTGTTGAAAAACAATCTGTTTGGCATTCGCCCTCGCCCCAAGCTAGTTCAAATCGAGTCTAATTAAGAATAAGTAGACCCATTGGCGCGAGCTCATCCCATTTATTCGTAGGTATGCAACGACCCCGAGGCAATTTCATTAACGTTTTTGGCAGTCTCCAAATGACAGATGTCGATTGATATGTGCCATAGCCACTTCATGCACTAATTTTTGGCTTGTTAAAATGGCCTAATTATCTAAACGGCAATTATGGGAGAATGCCTTGAAGTCCATGCACTGGCTGGGACAAGGACAAATTTATTAATCTAACCGGCCGAGCATCTTAGCTCCATGCCGATTGATATGTGCCACAGCCACTTCATGTACTGATTTTTGACTTTTTAAACGGCCTAATCATCTAGTCGGCAAGTATACAAAACGTTTTATCCAAAACAGCAACCAAACAATTCCGTTCATTAGTAACAACAAAGTACAAAATGAATTTTCATTTTGGGCACAAATTGTAACCATTTTACATTTGAAAATTACTAAACAAAAAGCTGTAAAAGGCTGAAAATTACATGCAAATCCTAAAACAAAAACAAGAGCTGCCCAAATTAGCCCTCGGAGTCAGACTCCAGCGGCTCAACATCCACTTGCTCGTATGGAATTGGCGTAGCTAATGTCACATCAGCAGCAGCAAGGGCTTTGAGCCAGCCGTGTTTAAATCCCCGATTCTCAAATTTGGGGACTTCGTCTACATATTTATCAAAAGCAGATTTTTTCCCAACATCGAATGCGCTGAAAGCCTTCAGGTCGACTGTTTCCTTCGCCGCCTTCATCTCTTCCAACCCAGCCTCCAATTTAGAGATCGCCTCCTGGGACAATTTAAGCGCGTCGTTGCTCGCATCTGCCCTCTTCTCGGCAACTGATCTCAATTCTTTAGCATTGCGGGCTCTCTCCATCTCGGCCTCAGCACAGGCGCCCTCCGTCTGCGCCCTACTCCTTTGGCCCTCAACCTCCGCTTGTAAACAGTCAATTAACTCGACGGCATCGTGATAGCGACGGCCCACGTCGGCTATCCTTCCGACGGCCTGCAAAACAAGAAGTTAAGAACAAAATAATATTTGCGTAAAGAGAAAAGACAAAGTCCAAATATATACCAAAAGAGCCAATTGCGCGGCCGAGCCAATTGTGCAGCCAACCCAATTGCAACCAGATCAAGCTCTGCCCGAAAAGCCGCCTTGTCAACAGGCAGTGAAACGGACGTCGCCAAGTTGAGTGCAACCGCTGGATCTTTGATTACCGAAGCATCGGAGGAGATCGGCGTATTTTTTATCTTGGGCTGAATAACAAAAGGTACAATCACATCCGACTCCTTCAAACGAGGTCGTTTGTCGACATGGTCTTCTTTTGAGCCAGCCTCGACATCGGCAGGGCGCTTCTCCACCCTTTGCTCAACTTCTACACTTGCCTGCACAAAAGGTTCCACCTCGGTACTTCCGTTCTTTGCAGTCCCCTCAATAACAGGTAAGGAGGACTGGGACTGAGATTCGGCAGCCCGAATCTCCTCCGCCCTTCGCTGCGCGGCCATCCTTTCCGCGTTCGCCTTCTTGGCAAGTTTAGTGAGGCTCAACCCAGCCATATCTTCTGGGAACGCGCCGGGAAGGTCCTCCAGACTGTGAAAAATATCGTCAAGCGAACGGTCCTCTCAACCCGAAGTGGACAGAGGATCAGCCGAATTGAGGCCGACTTCTTCAAATGCTAATTTCAAAGCCTCGTCAACCTCAGTTTCGGATTGGTCTGACTCGGCGGCCTCAATTACTTCCGGTCGCTCCAAATCTGATCCCTCGCAACCGACTTGCCTCAAATTTCTAAAATCAATCAAGATAAGGGCGATAAGAAACTCCTCACCCTTCGGAATTGGGATGTTTTCCGCCGCCGAAAAGGTCGTATAAGTCGGCTCGTAGCGGAGCAGAACGTGGGCCACCCTCCCCTGCTTCTGAAGCCTCGGTCGGCCGAATTACTTGAGCGCAGTCTTGATTTCCGAAAGGACGGCGTCGTCGGTCGAGGTGAAGACTTTCTTCAAATCGTTTCCTGCAAAAACAAAACCATAAGGTCCCAAAAATAAAGTTTTGTAAATATAACAAGTAAATAAATAAAAGAAGATATTTGGCCACCTGGTTCGCCCCTCCGCCTAGGAATACGATCAAGGCAATCCTTGCCTTCGCCGAATTTCCATTTTCCTTAGACGACGACCACAACATCACCGACTCGCTTCCCAGAGCTGGAAAGCATAGTCACTAGTTGATGGTCGGTGTCTTTGGCCTTAAGGAAATAACGCCCGTGCCAACCAGAAGACTTGTCCAAGGTGTAGCAATGCCGAATAGCGGGAATGCAAAGGTTAAGGCCAAGGCAGCGGTTTAGTGCGATAATCCCCATCACGATCCTAAAGAAGTTGACGTTGGGTTGGGAAGGGATTAACCCCCAATGGCAAAGCACGGCCCTAAGAAGTGGGTGAAGGGGGAAACGGACCCCACCCTCTGCGATTGATAGAAGAGAGAAGACGATCGTGGTTTCATCAACCCTCTCTATATCGAGGGTGCCGTCTGTCACAAATGACAGACGGACGTCATCAGGAATGGAAAAATAGCGTCGGAAGCTATAAATTCGATCCGGTGAGAGATCTTTTAAATGTTTCGCCATTCCCCCCAGCCAATAGGATTATGCTAAGCCAAAAAACAAAGCAGAGATGGAGAGAACTTACAAGAGGCGAAGGAGATAGAGAAGAGTAGGAAGTTGCAGAAGTAGTTTGGAAGGCAGTCCAGCGACGGGCGTCTAAAAGCGTGTATGCATTTGAAAAGACGTCGAAATTTTGAATCACAATAAATAGAAGTGTACGAAGAGGCGGGAAGTTGAAATGATAACTGAGAAGCGTGTGTACAGACATTTGCGTTGGAATACGGTCAGCTGCCGAATTTCGGCTCTGACTCTTTGAGTTCGAAGCCAAACACTCCAGCCAACTGTCGTTAATGGAATGCTTGGGGGGCAATTGTGGGGGCCGAGAATTAGGAGTCGTAGAGATTCCGGATAGTTGAATCTAGGAGAGTCGAGATTCGAAGCACTCGTCAATTGGCTCGAAAGCTCAAATCCAACCCTACTCGGCCAAATAACCGATTAAGCAAGGGGCCGAGTGAAGATCGGTCTATTATAAAATGTGCCGAATATGAGGTGGGAAATGGATCTAATCCCGAGGCCCAAAGAAGAAAAGATATAAATAGAAGAAACATCAGCCAGAAAGAGTTATGTGAGAATTGTTGTGCTAAACTTAGAATACAAGCATTCTTGAGCGTTGAGACTGACTTGTCCGTCGGAGTGCTAATTCCTGCACCCTCGACCGGAGTGTTTATTCCTTTTCAGGTAATTAGAAGAGGATCACAAGCGTTTCCCAGGATCAGAAGAGTATTTCTAAATCACTTATCCGCATAAACTATTCTACAAAGGACCTTTTATTATTAAAACAATCACTAACCACATGGTTTATCAAACCATTCAATTAATTTATGCAATAATTTAAAAACAAATAAATTCAAGGTCATTACAAGTCACTTAGTCAAACTAAAAAGAAAGCGATTTCTTATCTAATTGAATTGTGGGAATATGATAATCTCTTTCATGAATTATTATAACCCAATTAGTCGGACTCGCACTTTACCTAAAATCTAATCCACGAAATAGTTTGACCTATAGACAACATCATTGTGGTATAGGTCATATAATACCAGAGGAAACATTACAGAGGAGGAGGTTACAAGCGTTTATGCCGTAAAATCAATTTTCGACAGAATGAAAAATATATATATACACATCATAACAAGATATCACTGAGATAACTGATTGAGAAAAATTTTATGATCTGATTCTTGAACTTTCATATTGGGTATGTTTCAATGTAATCACCAAATTCCAAAATATCACAAAGCCAAATCAATTCCCTTGCAATGTTTTTCTCCCCAGTGATTTATTTTCCTCTCTTCACCCTCTGAACTTTCTCAACTGTCACAGCTATATTTAAGTACTTGTGCTATAAATCTTTACAATGAAGTTGGTAATGACAAATTTTTCTGATTTGGGTGGTTTGTTAGGAGGCATTTTACTTAACAATCCACAATAGACACATGTATGGACATAATTTGAAGCTGTAAGCTAGTGTTGCGTGTGTGTAATTGTAATTTTGTATGTCTGTGGTTATGTGATCTTAACAATTAACATACTACGCAAAAACAGAGGAAAAAGATGGGAAACATATACTCGAATAATATAGAAATTTGATTAAGAGTAAAGAATGCCAAAAATGAAACCCTAACGCACAGAAGATTAAGCAGCAGACATCGACACTGTGAACAAAACTCAAAACCCTAGCAGAACAAAACAAGATTAGCGATGTTTTTATAACTTACAGTTGATTGTTAACTCTGAGCTCGTAGCGAGGACACAGAACCTTGGCAGTTAGCAGAGCCAACTTCAAGACGATCCAAACCCTCGCAAGCGACGGATATACATATACAAAAGTTTTCTCGGTTACGTTGTCGTTTAGGAATGGGGTTGCGTTAAAAATAAATAAATTTTAAAAAATAATTACAAATAAATAGTAAATTTTAAAATATTAATAATTAAAATAATAAATTTTTGAATAAATTATCAATAAAAATTTTTAAACAAAAATACTAGAGATTCAAAAATTCTATCAAAATTTTTATAAAATATCTCATATGTGTATGGAAATACAAATCATACACTCATGTAAAACATTTGATAATTTAATAAAATTTTTAAAATCTCTAATATTACTCTTATTTAAAATACGAAATGTTATGATTTTAAAAATTATACCCTTCAACTTAATGTTAGAGTCCAGATGTTCTCATTGACTTCTCTTGTGCTCCCTGCCTACTTGGTGGCTCAAATTGACATTATTTATTGGCAAGAGGTTTTGTTCTTGTATCATGATCACATTTCATCCCTAATGGAATGATATCGTGGTAGTCAGTAATTCGAAATTACCGAAGGTCAACTTATAAAGATTCATGCAAATAGAGTATACATATGGGCCATAGATGTGTGGAAGCATAAATTTAAAGTTAATTAGTCTATAAAAGCTATGCATAGATTAAATGATTCTTTATTTCCATTTCCTTTTTCATAATTTTTTTCAAATGATCGAGATGGTTCCACAAGTATTAAATTTATCATTTGTTTCGTTCTCAAAATCATTGAACAAGTAAATATGTGAAAATTTGTATTTAATTATTCTTGTAAATGCATTATGTAATATGAATAATAAATTTAATCTTATCTAAATTATTTAATAAAATCAATATGAAGCAAATTAGGAAAAAACTATTCTAATTTAAATCACAAACAAAAATATTATTAAGAATAATAATTTTGTTGGTATTCAATATTTGTCGTTTATATTTATTTTTGACAAAGATTCAACTTAATAATTTCCCTTGCTAAATACCTTAATTGAAAACCTTAATTAAAATGATTTTAAGAAACTCACATAAATACATAGTTGTGTGGGTGAAAATCTGACCACACTGCCCGTTTAGTGATCAGCTGGAAAGCACAGGCAGAATAGATGGCTTTAGCAACCTGTAACAGAAAGAAAAAGCTCCGGCGGTGGAGGGTTAGGTGGCCGGTGGTGGTTAATCAAGCCACCACCTCGAGTGTTGAGAGAGAGAGAGAGAGAGAGAGAGTTAATAAAAAAATTAAAAAAAAGAAAAAAAAAGAAAAGAAGAAGAAGAAATTCAGAACTTTGGTGAAAACAAGTTAAAGTTAGGAAGAAGAAGAGAAGAATAAGAATCAGTGCTAGAATTTTTCCTACTATTTCACTACCTCATTCCAATCGTACAACTAAGTAAGAAAATTCTCTTAACTTTCTCATTCTTTTTTTTTATTTGTTTAAATTTTCAAATTATATTCATATGCTAAAATGACTAAAAATTTTAGATAGAATTTTGTTTGTAGTTGTATGTAAATTTATGATATATATATATATATATATATATTAGATGTTTGAAGGTCATTTATATATTAGTAGCCTTAAAATTATAATATAATATTGGGTTTAGACTTGCATATGCAGTTTGTGACATTAAATAGCTAATTGAAGATTTTATTTAGTTTGATTATATGATTCTTAAATCTGCCAGAATTTTGTACTAATTTTTAAATAATTTCATACTCATAATTTTGAGATGATTTCTTTTACAAAGTTGTTAAAAATGATGTCTGGTTCATCCAAAAAATTTTGTATCAATTGTTCTAACTTTGTATGGATTTATATGAAATTTTAATTAAATCAGGAATTTTAGACAAATTCTATTGCATGTTTGAAAAATTACTAAAACTCCTATATTACACCAAATCTTGTACTTTTTGAGTTAAAAATGAAATTTGAGAAATCTAATTTCATCCTAAATTTTTACATTATGGATTGGGTTTATAAATTTCAATGTGAAATTATTTTAAGAAAACATGACAAATCTGTGTCATATAATTTCTTGTAATTTTATAGAATTATTTATAAATTATTTTTGGGAAATTCTTTCCGAACAATTACCATAATATGTTTGTTGAACATTCTAAAGAAGTACATGAATTTTAGAATTTTCTGAATGATTCATGTGTAATTTTAACCATAAAGATTGTGTTCTGAAAGTTCTAGGCAAAATATTAAAGAATCAAGATTACCACTTCAATTATTTATTACAACTAAAATTATGTGTTGTGCCAGTCTATTTAAATTGATCTTGTAAATTAGCGGTTCATGTATGTGTGTTGTTGTGATCCATTTTAAGTATTTAAAATTATTATTTCATACCATGACTTGATTTAACAATTTACCATAATTTTATACATTGACTGATTATTGTAGAATGTATGTGTTAATATTTTCTGTTGAACATTGTAATAAAATGGTATAATGTTATTGACATTTAATTTTGTAATTATTTGTGAGTATTATGAAAATTAACTAAAATGATCAACAGAGTGTGTAAAATTTAATTTTTAAATTTTGTAATAATTTGTAAATATTTTGAGAATTCTTAGATAATTTGTGTTATGAAATCCTAATATATCACGGGACTTATTTAAACCCTTATCGGTATTCAATTTTGAAATATGGATGTACATGTGGCACACAAGGAGGTTATGTACCCCTAGTAGACCGTTTCCTTGGAGTAGACCATAGATGCCGCTACTTGGGTATGTATGTCACGACCCAAAAAATAATACCAATAATCCAACTCATAAGCGATGAGAATATATACAGAACTAGTATACTTTCATATATCAGAGTTTATATTACAAAAGAAATTACATGCATTATACTTTCATAAATGTACATTCTGAAACTACAACATGTAACACTAATTAATAACAACAAAATAAATGCCCTACGAGCTTACATTTTTTCAAGTCATAGCTTGGTTACAATAAAAGAGAGCCATAAGCTCTATACATTTAAAGCCCTCGGCTTGAATAAACAGTTAAACACAAAAATAACAAAAATAGAGCCTCCAGCTCCTAAGTTCTCTCAAGCTACATTTTTGGAGAAAGTATATCACCTGTACCTGAAAATAGTTTCCTAAGTAGGGTGAGCCAAAGCCCAGTAGAGATAGACTAACACAATATATGAGGTTTAACTACGATATAAGTATCAGATAGATGTTCAATATACATAACCAACTTACATCTTTCCATGACCATTCAATATTTATATTCACATCTTAATCCATTTCCATTATTCATTTTAAATCAATTCATGAATCTAGTTCATTGTTCTCTAAACAACCCAAATGAGACTACAACTCATTGGTTCACAATTCAATAACATTCATTATTCAAACACTTCAACTTTGCTATTTTATGAAATTTTCATCCGAGGGAATCGACACCAAGATTTCGGGACTTTCACCCTGGACACTTTGGCCAACTTAATTTTAAATGGAGTCCATCTCCTATCTTCTCCCAAACAATGATACATATACAATGTATCAAAAGTATCGTCATATACAATGACTATCCACAACACATATTCAATGTTTCAATCATACCGTCATATTCAATGACATAATTTAAATGATTAGTTTCAATTCACATAATCCTCATGTAATTTCTACAACAATCATGGCTATCTTCCACTGATAGCCCAAAACAGATATTTCTAAACAGATATACAATCCTTATAACATATAATTTATCAAGTTTCCATAAATGAGTGATTTAAAAAATCCAACTACACCATTCATTCATATATCCTCCCAATTTCACATTTTCCCATATCAATTCCATTATTTATACAAAAATAATTATTCAACACAAATTAGGGCAAATTTCCCCTTTGTCCAAATATCAACCCAAAGGCTAAATTTCACTATTTAATCACAAGAGAGCTTCATATTCAAAGTCCCATAGTCATTTTGTAACCCAACATGGAAAACCCCTCTTTTTAATTTGACCAAACCCTAGTTTACCCAAAATCACTCCCAAATCTCATTATTTATACATAACAACGAATATCTTGGTTAAAAACCATATTAAGGTGTAGAGTATCCCTACCTCAAAAGTAGAAGCCCAAAGAAGAAAAGGAAGAACTTCAAGAATGCCCAAACTTAACTTTGTTTGGATCAAATGGAAGCCCACATGATGCTTCACCTTTTTCTTAAAGGAAGTAGGGTAGAGGTGCTTAGATCTTGGAGTATTCGGAGAGAGAAGTCAAGTTTTAGAGAGAGAAAGAGCCGATCTAGGGTTTTGAGTGAAAAGAAAATAAAAAACTGATGTAAAACTGCTCTGCTGCGAACTGATATACGCGAGGCTCGCTCGAGCAAAGGAGTTGTCACTTGAGTGACCAGATATAATAAGTGACCTCGCTCGAGCACTGTAGATACCCCATTTTTGACCGCCCTTAAGACTTGGGCACTACTGATTGCTTACTTAGTGATGCAGGCTATGCTATGCAAAGGGTTGATTTTTTTGGCAAGGAGAGCGTCAAATCCAAACCTCACACCCCTTTTTTGGGCCAAAACTATTTTGAATGGTTTTTAGACCTTAAGGCCCTCTCTTCCAAAATGTTTTTGAAATAAAGTTTTTACGATGTTTCGACGCTCGCATTTCGTTAAATGTTGCGCATTTCGATAAACCGAGCAAGGACAAAGTGGAAATGAATGAAAGAGAGATGAAATCTTTGAAAAATCTTTCAAAACACCTTGTTTAGGGGTTTGGAGTTGAAGAAAAGAGGAGAGGATAGAAGAAAACTAGTTTGGGAGAAGTTCGGCATGAATCCGGGAAGGATCGAAACTGAGAGGCTTCACCAAAACAGGCATACTTTTTGCACAATTGAAATTTTGATGTAAGGCTTCCACCATTGGACATCTTACTTCCGTGGCTTCAATTTGGACACAAGAATGACCTGAAAAGGAGTCCAGATGAAGGAGATATGACCATTTGAAGTTTGACCTGCAGAGCAGATTTTTGCTGTCGGCCAGAAAAGTAGTTGGCCGGCCA